GAATGCTTTGAGCTGTTGTTGTTTGTTGAGCTGCAGTACAAGCTGCTTTCGTGGAGAACAACAACTACGAGAAAGGCTCATGCACACATTTCTGCTTGTTTTATTCTTCTTCTTGTAGATTTATGTTGACCTAAACTGCCTGTGATAGTAGGTTCACCTGTTGTGTCTTAAACATTAAAAAAGAAAGGAAAAGGAAACAAAAAGATGCAAATAATAAGAAGCACAGAAATGAATAACACCTCCTGATTTCCAAATCTAAAATAAATCCAATGTTTAATAAGACAAAATAACATCTGTGACTCGAGTGAAACAGTAAGTGCAGCGGTTACTCGGGCTCAATCTCTGTACGCCATTAAAGGGCGCTGGCTCACGTGCACATGATGAGACATTGTAACCAGGCTTAAGCACTTTTAGTAACCACTAGACAGGATCCTCTAGAAATGCATATGCACGCATAGGATTAAAAATGTATTAGCTCCGGTAATGTCTTTGACCCTTTGTCTTTTTTAAAAACAGCGCAGACAAGTTGTTGACGCTTTTTTTTTTTTTTTCATGGTTCTGCCGATCGGCCCCTCTGGGTGCTGCCGTCTTGTTTTCGTTAAAATGGTTGACGTGTTTCCAATAACACACTGCACATAATCCAGAAGTTTCCTCACACAACTGAGTTGAAGATGCAAGCAGGTCTTGTTGCTCTTGAAAAGACTGATGCACCAAACTGTGATGGTTAGGGATGAGTAAAAAATGCTGTTACACCCCGAGCTACAAGTATAGTTCTTCTTCTTCTGTTTCTGCTCGTACTTCTTTTTATGTCTTTCCTCCTTCTTATTATCATCATTATGATTATTAATATGAGTTGAAATGCCCTCCACCTTTTTCACCTGTTTTTATTTTTTTTTACATGTAAGTGTAGTAATCAAACATTCATTCAGGGGTCTGAGTCACTCTGCTGCCTTCCTCCTGGGAGCACACTGTCCTGTGAGAGAGAGACCTGGCTGTACTCTCGGTCAGGGTGACGCTCTTGTGAATGGTTTGCAGGTCAGGTATAAATCAAATGAGCCATATGCTTCCTATCAGAGGTATTTCCTGCACTCCAGTGTGCCCTCAGGCACATTCCTGTAAGCCCAGTGCTTCTTCTGTAATGTACCTGGTGCAGAAAAAGGTAACATGCTGTAATTTAATTCCAACATGCCTTTCACTTTGCTGCCATGCTGTAAAGAAGTGGTTATAAATACACCATAAAGCCTAGGTAAAAGGCCAATGTGTTTCAGGGATATGTATTTTTCATCGTGCTGGACTGCCTTTTCAGGTTGTAAACATTAAGGCCCAATCAAGGCGTCCATTGTAGGAGCACTTAGAAAGCATGTGTCCACACAGGAAATGGACCCGGCACAGTTCAGGAGCGGTGGGTCCGTGTGAAGCCAGGAGACGAGGATGAGCATGGAAAAAAAAAAAAGACTCGTGACGCATGTTCACTTGTTTTTAGTCTCTTTGAATCTGTCCATCATAACCTGACAAATGAAGATCTTTTCAGGGCCTAAATTACATTTCTTTGACAGATTGGGGGTCTTTAGAAATCCTTTAATGGTCTAATGTACTTGGATGATCACTTGTGTTTGATAGCAGATGACTCCATCTGAATGTTAAATGGCTTTGATAATTTGAGTATTTAGCTCATTGTGTGTGTGTTTTTTTCTTCTTGGTCTTAAAGGCTGGAAATCATTTAACCTAAGTTATCATAATGGGTTTGGCATTGAAGGAAATTGGCTCTTATTTGACCGTCAGAAAGAAAAAAAGGTCCGAAAATTTCCAAGGGTCTGCGGTGTGACGGCAGATCTTTATGAAAAAAACTTATTAAACACATTTAATCTGATATCAAAACATGCTCTGTCTGCAGGAGGAGCACGCTTAATTGAGTGCAGTTGTGTAAGGTCACATCCAACAATAGAAAAGTAGTCCAGCTCAGATTGTGGTAGCGTGTGGTATGTGTTTGAACGGGCACAAGATATGCAAGTAGCTTTTCTACGGATAAATTAATAGCAGTTAAGTATATTTTAGCTGTGCACAGAGGGTCATAACATTAGTGCCTTTTACATTTTTAATGTCTGCGTCTCAAACTTTTCTTTGCTCTAAGATGTAATGTGTTGTAAGCCAGAGGTTTGTACACAGTGAGGGTGGGCTGAAGGACAGGGATGTGGGACAAAGATTCTGCATGACATGAAAGTGAAGCAGGTTTTTAAGAAACATCATGAACTTAGTTTTCCATCTGAACTGATGTTTTTTTTCTTCAGAATCAGAAGCTTCATCGTATCATGCGTGGTGTAAAGCTCATGGAAACATTTAAGGCACTTTAAAAAGTCCTTGGAGACTAATAGCTGTCATTTGTTTGAATCATTGTTTTTCATCCATTAACATCTACAGCCCATGATCTGAGCACAGAGACATGACTCACATCTTTTTAAAAGGTTTTATGCAACTTTTAAGCAGGGTTTCTCAACACCAGGACTTTCAAGAACCATCAAGTTTTAGGTTTTCTTCAGCAGCAGTTATATCTATGTCCCATGGAGGCTACAGGTTTGAATCCAACTTCAGCCCTTTGCTGCGCGTCACCCTCAACTGTCTCCTTCCCTCATTTCCTGTCTCTCTTCAGCTGTCCTGTCCAATAAAGGCGAAAATGGCCAAAAACAAAACACCAACAAACACTGGACTAAAGTTGTAGCCCTCCGTGCACCACTACAACTTCTCAGGGAAAGAGACAAAAGAAATCGTGCAGATATCGATGCTACTATTTGCCAAGAAAGATTTTGCTTTTTGCGAGTAGAAAATTACAAACACTGGTTTTAAAAAGTGTTTTTTTTTTCATGATCATGGTGGTTCTGCGGCTGCAGAAAGTGTGTCTTATTGTTTAAAAAAAGAGCTGTTTTTGTCTAGTGTTTGATCCGTGTTGAGTTAATTTTTCTGTGGTTGAAGATCATCCAACCTTTGATCTACATGAAGACACTTACTTTATTTCAAAATAAAAGCACGGTTGAATTCAAACAGCAGGTGAAGTACTCTCATCTTAAAACAGTACAGAAATTCAAAATAAAAGCCTAAAAAAAATTTAGATGGGAAATGATGACATTTCTAATATGCAGTTAAAAACACGATAACTGTGACAAACTATTAAAAATTGATTCAAAAATGTAATATTTATTTTATTATTATATTTTTTGCAGCAATAATATTAAAACATATATGTTCACATTGTTACACTTTCTATTTAATTTATTTGTTTGTCTGACATGGAGATACATATATAACATTTTAACCATGCACAAGTCCCAGCAAACTGCTTTTAGTGTTTATAGCAAGATTCTAAAAGCCGCAGGAGGATTTTAGAAACAAGAAATATTAAAAAAAAGACAAATAATAAAGAGAAGAAAATGAAAACAGTTCAGTTATAAAAGCAAAACAGATCAAATACAGTTGTAATTAGAAGGCAGTAAAAAATAAACTACACACACTACAAATTGTGTTTGTAGTGTGTTATTATTATAGTGTTATAATAACATTTAAAACATACATTTTCCTACAGCACCCTGGTCTATAATAATAATTAAAAAACAATTTTTAAGCTTGATGGCATTTTCTCTGTGGGCAGTTCTCTCAGGATGTCTCATTTCTTACACTGATTTTATACAACCATTCACTTTGACAACTCCCCCAAAAAAGAGCCTTTTATACTTTTTAATAGTGCGTCACACTTTATCATGTTTTTTTTTTTACTTCCAGTAATTAAAAAAATAAAGTCCTTGCGTAGTATTTTTCCACATTAAACTGATAGAAGTAAAGAGAAACATTTTGTTTAAACTTAAACTTAATTTTAAAAGCAGGAAATGAAACTGATTCTTTCTACAATGAACACATTTAAATACCCTGAGTAGACAAGACCATACATTCTGGATAGTATCAACGTGTCAGACTAAGAATAGACACCACAATGGAGTTCATTAACATCATTCTCTACAGTCACACGTCCACAGCATCCCTTCTCCTCTGCGCCCAGCATCACGGCTGCTCGCTGTGGTTGTGGAGAACGCCGCTTCTGTAAATAGGAGGATGTGCTTCAACAAGGAGCACAACTTCAAGTAATACTTGTTCCTTAACATTAGCACGGCGTAAAGAAACTGGAGTGAACTTTAGAAAAGACTTAGTTGTCAGTTGCATGTTCCCAAAACATTGTTTTATATTTAAAAAAAAACAAAACAACATATGCAGGAGGCCTGGATAACAATCCTGAACTGGCGCCCACCAGTAATTATGATGTGGGTACAAAGAGATTTTTGCCATTCTAAAGGGAGAAGGGGAGTGTAGGTGTATTAATTCCTATTCTTTCCTGCTTCCTCGACTTGGAAGTTCAGATTTAGAAAAATAGACCCCCCCCCCCCCCCCCCCCTCAAAAGAAAAGAAAAAAACAACTGTCACATTGACTGACGCCGATCATATGTAGCATCTGTGTTCCCACCTCTGTTCCCCATAGTATAAGCCACACACAGCCAATGTGGGAAACTGACAATGTCAATTTATCAGAACAAAAGAATTCCTCAGCAAGAGGAATACACATCTTTGGGCCCTGGAGACGAAAAATCCTTCCACCCCCACCCTTACCTGTATCTAAACAGAATGTAGGACATTCACAACACCCGAAATAGAAAACTCACTCACAATTATCATTTTTGAATGTATCCCCTGCAGTCAAAAGTTAGGATTTCACTTTAGGAGTTAGCGCTGCACTTTAAATGCCAACTTTCTGAAAGTAAACAATCGAAAAGAAAAAAGCACAAGGATGAATTAAAGAACCAAAGAGCTGCTGCAACCCAGGATGGGACAGTTTAGACCAGCTGATCCAGATCCTTTCTGCCCTGAACAATTGTTCTTTTTTAATGACTTTGTTTAACATTTAACATTTGTGCCTCTTCCATTTTGAGCTGTTGTGCTGATAATGTTGTGTCTCTTTTCAGGTGTCAGATCCTGAAGTCCCCGCCATCACTTCAAGTTCATATTTGTAAGTACTCAACCTCATTTTCTTTATTTTCTTTTCTGTAAAAAATCATAATATTCACAGCAGAGCGAACTCGAAATACTAAACCTTACTCCACGCCTGTTTGGCTTCACAATTTCATTTTATTTGTTCAACTTAAATAAATGTGTTTTACAGTACAAAATGACATAGTACACCTGTTATAGCTTTACAGTCTGTCTTTACTTTACACTGATTACCTACAGAACGTTTAAAGTAAAATCCCTTTTAAAAAAAACCAAAACCTGTTACATTTGTTGTGGTAGCATTTGCAAAAAATGGCTTATAATTATTAGCTTTTCGGACATATGACATGCATATTGTCTAGATTGTTGAATGAAGTGTTACCTTTTTCTTGCCATTTTTTTTTTAACCGTTCAACCTCCCTCACAAACTCAATCAAAAACTGAAATGCAGCTCATGGGTTTAACTCCGATCAAATCAGAATGATCACACATTTTACAAATGGTTGGACAATGAGACTTTACGTGGTGCTGAGCAGGATGGTGTGAAGGATGCCCAATTTTTGTTTTTTTGTGAAGCAATATTTTGAGCAACAAGGGCTGCAAAGGTTTTACATAGAATATACCAAGAAATGGTTTAAAAATACAACACTGAGAACATTTTTTTCTATTATTTTTGTATGTGGCTTCCTGTTTCCATCAAGCATTTCTGCATTTGTGATAATTTAACATAAATGTTATTTTTATTTCTGCCTTTAGATTGTGGCACGAAGGAAAATAGTAGTTTACATTTAATTAGTTTGATTCTACATAATAGTGTATTTATCTCAGGAATTCTGGAAATGTACGACTACTTATCATATTATACTGAATTAAATTCTTTAGTATATCAGTGATTCTGTTTTGGCATCCATATTTGTTTAAATTCCTCTGCTCAGGAGATGAATATGCATCACAGATAATCTGCAAAGTGTAGACAGTGCACTCCTGACGTACAGTAGGTCTCCTCATGATACATGATTTAATTATACTATTAGACCTGTTGAAGAGAAAAACAAAGTCGCGTGAGTGAGAAGAAAACAACAACGCTCGCTCTATTCAGATGATTTCTTGGTACCCAGCTGAAGCTTTCACCTCCAAAGGAACTTTTTCTATTATCAGATGTGACAGCGTGGTCACATGATGTCATATGGAGAGTCTGCTGGGTTGGTGAACTTGCTTTCTGATGTACTTTACATTTTATACATTTTTGCATGACTTCGGTCTATGTGATACATGAATGCACCTTATATACATTTGATCATCTCTGCACATTGCACATTTCTCTGTGTTTCAAGTTTTGCGCATTGTTCTCTAACACCTCGTTTTCCTTTTTAAAACATTTTTCTAACGTGATAAAACAACAACAAAAACATTAATGCAAACAAAAACGAGGGCATAATTTCTGTGATGTCCGGATTTTCCTTTTTGGAACTAGTCCATGTCTGAAAAGGGGGTAGGATGAGATGAAAAAACTCATCCAATTAGTTTTGGAAAGCTTTTTAAATGAATCCAAGACCCAAGCCTTCAGAATGAAGTCAAAGATTACCAATAACTATCTAAGTAACAAAAGCAACAACATGTTCCATGATCCATGATCTTGTTTATTTTAGGCTCATAAGCTTAACAGCTCTTTACTCACACAAAGAACAGATTTTTGTCTTTTTTTTTCCAGTACCTAACATATTTTGTAGTAGTTACGTCGAATACACCTTTTTTGTTGACCTTTCCTTTCATCATGACACTTGGTGTTAGATCAAGTAGACACAATATAAAAGTGAATCTGTTTCATGAAGTCAGTGCCATGTTTGTGTTTTCATCTCAACATGCTTATGCTCGTGGAACCGTAAGAGGAAGATGCCTTTTCTGATTGTTTTCTTATCCACACTTTTTTTTGTAATTCAAACCATCTATTGCATATTCATTTCTGCTAACTTAAGCCCTGCGTGCTCATAAGTGACGCAAGAGTTGTTTTGATTGGAAAGTGTCCCTTGAACATGTATAAAGGTGAAGTGATTTTACATATGGGCAGACAGACAGAGAACCAAAATATTACTTACTAACAATAAAAGTATAGTGCTAAAGAAATAGTCAACACATGATGAATCCATTTACATATCTGAAAAGGAGCGGGAAGAAGTATAGTTATGCAGTTTTACATAGTGAATGTAGGGCCAAAGAGATGGATAGGTGGATGGATGGATGGATAGATAGATACAGTATATGGATGGATGGATAGAAAGCTTTGTGGATAGATAGATAGATGGCTTGGCAGTTATATTTGATGACTTGCGTTTAAACACTCATTCAGCTTTTGCAGCACCAAAATCATTGCACAATATAGCATCTACATATTTGAAATAATATGGGATTAATTTCTAACATAATGAAACACACAGTGACCTCTTTTGCTTTAACGTTTCTGTTTGCAAAATGACTCCTTAAGACAGTAACTGTGATCATTTACTGTCTTTGTTTGGTTGATGTTATATGAACTGTCTGCTGCTTCTGATAGATGGGGAAAAATCCAAAGAAAGACCTCATCATAAAACCTTAAGTGAATAATGCAAACAGTGCTTGTAGACTTTGCTGCTGCATATTAATGAAGCGTTTTCTACTTTAGTTCAGCCTTCAGTGAGTCTTTGTTTTTATCTGCAGATTAGCGGACTCTCATTATTTTTGATAAGCTGCTGGAAAGTGCCTTAACAGCCACATCCAAATAATGGTTGCATGTCCTGATAACACTAATGGTCCTTGCTTTAATTGATTTCAGATAAAAGTCCATCAGTATTGTAATAATGCTTGAGTGTTTTAAATTTTTAAATAGAATAAAATAATAGTCATGATATGTTTTTTTTTACTTGAGTCTTCTACTTAAACTCCACTCGCCCATCTTCACTTACATTAGGACACAGTCACGTTACTCGAATGAACCAAATAACAAACAGCAGACATATGAAGACAGTATGTAAACTGTGATAAACACACATTGAATTTAGGGAGCTCTGAGGTGTCTGTGTTTAGCAAAGCATGCACCGTGGTTGAATACCAAACTTTGATATATTTTTGAAACAGATGGGAAGGTGCTCATATGGGAACCTGAGCTCTAATTCACTGAATATGAAAATGTTGAACAGGTGGTCGGAGAAGCTTCTTCCCTACGACGGCTTTCATTAACACTTTATTCTTCTAGTGATAATAATAAGTTATGTGTGCCCTCTGAGATATGGAGCACACAAAAGAGATGCTTCATTTATTATAGGGAATAAATGGAAAAACCAAGGACTTTTTTGCTATTATTACACCATTGCAAATCCTGAAAAAAGACATGCACACTACTTGCACAGTGAAAGTTTGTTTAAGGATATGATAAGGGTCCGAATAGATGGGTTTATTAGAGTAAGTGTTGCAATGTTGCAACGGAAATGTAAAACCACCCTGCAAACATATTGGCAGATTGTGTATGCCTAAAAAAAAAGATATCTGTGTCCTTTACAACTAGGGCCTGACCAATATGGGATTTTAACGATATCGCTATTAAGAAGAGAAAAAAATCCGATACCAATAAATCTGCAGATATCTTTCTTTGATTTGATTTCTGAGTGATAATGCTTGTTGTAATCCATATACGTAGCACACTCTGCTGGTGAAAGACAAATGCTAGAGTAATACAATGAAACTCAAACCTAACCCTAACCCATATTGAAAGATAACTGAAGTTTTTGTGACATTGTCACGTGTAACGTTTCAAAGCATTGTTCATGCAACAACTTGGATGAAATACTAACTCTACCAATATTCAGTTATATTCTTGTCTGTCAATGCACTTTGTTATCTTTTGTTTAATTTGATATTAAAATCATTTATTTACATGTTGACCTCAAGAACATCTCATTGGTTAATTAATAATTAACAATAGTCCATATTTCTGTTTATTTCCTCTAGCAAATTTTAAATTAGTCCTTCATTCAAATAATGTTTCAGTTTTGTTGAGTCGCCTTCATCTTTTGGTATTCATGTTGACATTTTCTTAAAAAGAGTTCTTGGTATTGTTTTTCTTGTCTGCCGATTGCATTATAGTAAATCACCATGGAAACTATAGGCAATTGTTGTCAGATAGAATATATATCAGGGTCGTCTGCGACGGTAATATCTTTTTGTCTTTTATACAATCAAAAATCTTCTAGAGTCTTTTGAAATGTTTCTCCTTTTCTTTTTCTTAATAGCAGCACAGCATCACTTCAGTTAAGACTGCAGAATGCATTGCTCAGCAGTCGAGGGATGAGTACCAGGTATAGCTTTATTAAAATGTTGTAACCACCACTGAGATGTCAGTTTACAGAATTTTATCATCAGACAAGGCCGAGCTGAGGGGCTTCCAATGAAATACATTAGACCGTGAAGATTGAGGTCCTTCATCCTTTAAAAACAGGATTATTCATCAAGAGGAACTGTTGAGCATTTCATTTGACAGATACAGCACAGTGTATGAGATCATCCTGTTTTTTAAGTCTTATCTTCATTTGGCAGCTAGTTCAATTTGAATTGACAAATGTAACTGAACTTGTCACGATATGGTCAAAATGAGCAATAACTTGCTGCTGCTGTTGATGTGAAAGTTAAAGATCTCATAGTAAACTAATTCTCACCTTTCATTTTGTCAGTCTGTGAAACCTAAAACATGCTCTGCAGTGCTGGGAGAAGAGAGCCTAGATTTCAACAGCTCAGGTGCGTGTCCAGAAGGAACTGTCGTGTGATTTGCAGAACGAGCACTTTAGAGGCACAGTGCAGATTTATCCTGGGATTACTCCCAACATACATTCACCTCATGATCTGAAACTTTGCTCATGTTTAGTTGTTTAGTTTGGGCATCCAGCGTTGTGACACTATATGTGGGTTTTAAAATAGGGTCCAGAATAATAGGTCAACTTTAAGACAAATGACAAGAAATAGTGGGAGACTTCAGATATTGAGCACCATTGT